TTTATAGTTAACAAATTGGTGATTTATGAAGTTAGTTAGGTACCTTAAATTGTAGGCAATTTAATTGCCTACAACATAAAATAACTAATAAACACGTAATTTTGCCACTTATTTGCAATTTGCCAACTTAGCGTCACTTCTTTCTAGTTAGTTTTTTGATTCTACATACAATGTCAGAAAGTGCAATAATCTACTAATCATTTTTATATTGTAAAACTCTAATTCAACTTTACTATTGTGTAACCTTGCACAAACTTTATTCAGACATGGAAAAAGTTGCAAAAAATACCAATGGTACCAATGGTGAAAAAGTACTTCTTGGAAAAGTCAAGTCGGAAAAACATGGTAATACATGTTAAGGCAAAAATTGATTTTACATTTTTCCTAAAGAATTAGGAATAAGAAATAACATCAAATACTTCATACCTGCAATATGTAATATCGTCTGTACGAGCCTATACAGGGTGATTCAGAACTTATCCAAACAAATTTGGGAATAGATGCGGCATGAGAAATGGAGTCAATATCGTAAAAAAAATTTTTGTAAAATCCTTATAGTTTCAGAGAAAAAATTATTGAAGTTATAGTACATTCAACGACTACATAGCTGGACAACTGTAGTCTCTAGCGTCATTCGCAATGCGCGTGGAGAGCCACGTGGCCTCAGCGACTCCGAATACTGAAATCGGATTTTGCAATCGTCGTTGCAATAGTATTTACCTGTTATCTGTTCAATAGTTTTTTTAGTAGTTAGTGTCAAAAATGGGTAGTTAGTGTCAAAAATGGTTTGCGTGTATAGCAACTCGGAGTTCATGGATATCGTTTTAATTTATGGTGAAGCATTTGTGATATGGTGAAGCAAGACAACATTTGTGTTAGTTCGTAGAAACTGAGTAAGACGGACCCAAATGTGTTTACACGTTGGTGGATAAAATTTTGAACAATTGTTGTAACATCGGGTATGTCAAATGATTTTATTATTTAAAAACACAAATTAATTTTATTAATTAATAAAGGCAAAAGCAGTTGAATTTGCCGATATAAAATAGGTGCGATAAAATTCTATTTACATATTTCTTTCCTTGCGAAAGTTTTTGTCCGTTTTTATCACACCGCCATGCCGGTCGCATTGTGCGAGGTCAGGTTTTACAGTGGACCAGTTTCCAGTGCCGTGCAGAAGTGTATTTTTAAATCATTTTCGAACTGCCCTTTTTGATTTTTTCTTTACAAAATTGTATTTGTAAGGGTCCCCTGTACATCCAGAATTTTTTTTGGCTAAGTTCTGAATCACCCTGTATATTTGTTGTATGCTTTTATACATTAATAAAGGCACTTAAAATTCTGTGGATTATCGCTGACGTAAATACATAGTACGATTTTTATAAATGATTTAATTTAACAATATCTCTATTAAGTATACTGATGCATATTTCAGTGTAATCTTAGTTCTAAATTAAATACTGAGTCAGAATAAATTAAATTTCAGACACTGTTAACCTCACTTTCAAAATACTTGCTTCTATTAAAGATTTACTATTTTAATGTTTCCAGTATTAATTAAGTGGTTGGTAATACGACAAAATAAGCTCTTTGGTACGTGAATATGTATTTTTTTTGTTTAGAGAAAAAAATCAAAAATGTGGTTTGTAAAAAATATTACTAAATTCTATTACTCTAATAGGTATGTAAATTTTTACATCTTTTGTTTTTTGTTCCAAAAAATATTTATAAAACTTGGTTTATAAAATTTGTTCTTTTTTTTAATAAAATATTCTGCTGTTGCTGTCAAACTGAAAGTACATTTGCATAGATCATGTTTCCTCTACCAATGAAGATAGGCCCCTCATACCTTATACTATTTTAAGTGATTTCACTAAAGCATATTGAGGTACCCAATTTGTAAAGATACTGGTGTAACTTCAAAAAGTGCTAAAAATTAAGGAACAGAAAAGATTAAATTGTTTCAAACAAATCAAGCTATCAAAAACAGCGACACAGAAAAAATTAAGCAAGAGCTTGTAGGAGTGGTTTACTTCTACCCCTTGCACCTGAAGAAATTCAAAATATGTTCTAATAATTACCTTTTTCTAAAATTAAATACGTTTTTACGACGAACAATGATTACTTTGGAATTTATTGCTGTTCCTGAAGGTATGTCATTAACAATTGCATGTTTTATTTATCAGTTAACATATTTGTGTTTTCCTCTTTAACTAAGCCTCAAATTAAAAAATTGTAAAGGAACGTCCTCTGTTGAGTACTGAAGAATTACACAAAATTTCATAAAAAATTATATATTTTCTCAAAATGATTCCATTACATTACTGGAAGCATTAAATTCTTATTTAATCCAACATTTTTTTTTCATGTTTTGTGATAAAAATTATCAAAAATTAATCATTCTGTTTAAAAATTAAACCGAAATAAAATTATTATAATTAAAATAAATTATAACTTGTTTGTTACCCGCCACTGGAGCCATAAGTAACACTTAGTTGAGTTAATAATAAACAAAAAGGAACACAAAAAGCAGGGTCTAATTAGTGCTGGAATTCTCTATTTAAGCAGAAAGTAACACTTAATAATAAACAAAAAGGAACACAAAAAGCAGGGTCTAATTAGTGCTGGAATTCTCTATTTAAGCAGAAAAAATTTTTTATAGGCTAGACTTTTCAAAAAAGTTTAGTACGTAAGTTATTGCCTCTGACGAGTTATGATGTGATTATAATATCTACTTCGGCACTTATTTCTGTATTTAAAAAAGTTTATTCTTAAAATTACCTAAAGAAATCTACCCCCATTTAATACTTCAGATTACTTAGAAAACATCCCGTATATAAAACAAAATTTTATTTACCGTTAATTCTAATTTACCATTTTGTGTTTTTTCAGATTTCTTCCTGCAAATAGGTATTATAAAGGTTGTTAGGATATCAAAAACCGACCACGATCGTAAAGACATGTGCGACCATAATGAAAATATGTGGAAATTTGCCGTTTTCATGTTGGTCTGCTTAACTGCCGCTGACTGTTCATCAAAGCCCTTCAGACTTAATGATTTTCATGATCAAATAATATACAACGAGCAGCAAGCTGATGTGGAAAGTACATTGAGTGAAGATAAGACGAAAAGAGAGATCTTCATTGCCCCTTCATATATGTCGTCTATTATTTGTGTTGAAGGATACAAGATTAATTTAAAGGGTGAATGTGTACAGATCATAAAACTAGATAAAGAGGAACAATTCCAGTTTTTTATTGAACAATTAAACAGAAGATTTGGACCTGCAGCTGAAAAAGGCAAAATTTAAAAACATTAACTTAGGGTGACAAGAGATGTTTACAGACGATACGGGAACAAAACAGGAATTTTCACCACAATGAAGAGTTACAGACGGATTCAGTGAAAAGCTATAATGCCCAGAATTCTAACTTTTGTTACATATTGACATGCTGCAGAAGACAAATCCGGAAAAAATGTTTTTTTTTTAGAAAAAAATACTATACCTAAGCTTTATATTATTACAGACCTCTACAATGAACAGTACTGTTCTATTTTTAAAGAAAGATAAAAATGCTGATGTGATTCGTTTTAAAAATATACGGGGTTCAATCTACCATTTTGAAAGAGGTTATAGAGAATTTTGTTAAGTAAAATAATTCTATGGATATAGATTCAGAAACCACTCTAAAACAGTTTTTAAACAATAAATCAGTTGCTTAAGAGAATAACACGCAGAAGGATGGTATGAAGACATACTTTTTCTACACCCATGAATGTCGTAAGGAAATCAGAAAGTTTCTGAACTATGTTCTGCAAATTTATCTTCTTCCAAGTTTCTGTAAGTAAATAATATCATCATTTCAAAGAACTTGTTGTTCTTCTAAAAGATACATAAAATCAACTGAAAACGTTTAGTTTGCGTAAACATTTTTGTAAAATAAATCGCCCCGCTGAAATAGAAACATGTTTGAACTGAAATTCTCTACTACCTATATCTTTCAAATTGGATGTGGAAAACCTAATATACCTACTAGTGTCTAAAGCTAAAGGAATACACAATTGTACTTAAATACCTTTACATGTACTATTCATATTTAAATTAAATATTTAACATGTTTTTAAGAATGCTCATCACACATATTAGAATTTTATTCTTCAGATCAATAAACAATGTTCACCATATAAATTGTGTTATTTTTAAAGTGACATAATTATAATAATATATAAAATAATAATAATATTTTAGAACAGAAAAATAGTAAATATACAAATTTATCGAAATATATTTTGGTAGATTTCTAAATGTATATTTATCTTTTAAAATGGCATGTTTGTCACAAGAATTGTGTCACAATTATGATTTTTGAAATAGAACAAATTATTTGGTAGAAACCGACAGTTATTTTTAGCTATATAATTTGATATAGGTACGTATGTCTATTTTTCAATATCATCTGAACTCAGTATATACAGAGCCTTCCTAAATCTTTACAAGCCACGTGATCGTCGAGCTTAAGCAACTCAACATTGCACGAGTGGTACTGGCAAGGAAAATTCCTAGATCTTGACGTTACTAATATTAATAACTCGTTACAATGAACAATGACGAACCGTTACGTCTACGCTTGAGATAGTGCGATCGCTGATTGGTTGAATAGCATCTCCTGAAAAAATACACCAATCACAGCCGATAAAACAGAACGTTGTGTTTTAATGTAACCTTGATCTTACTATTTTAATAATTTTTAATTTTACCGAAATTTAATGATCAACATGAAGGAAATAAAATTACTGTTTCAAATAAAATTACTGGTCACGTGGCTTATAAACATTTATGTATCATAATTTTGATATTTTGAAAGCCAAATAATCAAACAATGGTATACAGAAAAATGTAACTTAAAAATTAATTTGTTATGTTAACACAAGCAACAGAGTATGAATGTTATTCAAGATATTATCAATTATTTCAATGAATAAATAAAAGAATACTTACATGTTGACCTTGTAAATGTGTTTATCCAATGGTAAACTCCTTGCAAATAACCTGCAAAAAACAGTGAGATGTCAGTTTTTTGAAATTTTATATGTATTTTATTAATTTGACAATAAGGGCCTGTATAACCTTTTTTTGTAAAAGCCATAACTATATTGTAGTTTTGAACATTTAAAAGAAGATCGAGCAAAAGAAATATGTTTTGCATTTTAAAATTAAATAAATTTTACCAATGGATGTTATGATTAACAAAATATTGGAATTGGTGAAAAAAACATACAGGGGATATTTGATGTAGTAAAATATCTATGATATTTTTTACTTATACGAATAAAGTTAAGTTAATACCTCATCTAGCTAAAATATATGAAACTATCTTAAAAATGCAAATAACTAATTATTTTGAGACTCAGGGACTTTTCAATCCTCAACAATTCGGTTTTCGAAGTATCTATCGACCACACTAGCCATAGATTGTCAACATCCACAATAACAATAGTTTTGAAGAAGGGAAATACGTTGCTAGTCAATTTTTAGATCTGACAAAAGCTTTCGATTGTGTATCACACGAAATTCTTATACATAAGCTACATAATTATAGTTTTTCATCGTACAGTTCGGATTTATTAAGATCATATTTGAGTAATAGATTACAGTATGTCGTATATAATAATGTGAAATCATCCATAAAAAATATGGAACATGGAGTTCCACAAGGTTCCAAATTGGGTCCGTTACTGTTTTTGATATATATCAATGATTTTCCTAATTGTTTACCTTATGATACTAAAAGTATACTCTTTGCTTATGATACCAATATAACTAGAACCAACTTAAATTTTGAACAGTTAATGACGTCAACTTATGACCAACATGCATCGGTAGAAAACTTGTTTACTAGTAATCAACTGAGTTTGAATACTTCGAAGACCGAAACTATGATTTTTAGTCTCCGGGATATGGAAAACTGGGATAATCCAGCACGTGTAAAATTCTTGGGAGTTCATCTTGACCCTAAACTGACATGGGATCAACATGTTAATTATGTTTGCTCCAAGATATCAAAACATACTTATTTACTCCGGAGTCTCAAACGAAGAGTCTCAATATCAAGCTTGCTGATAGTTGATCATGGCTATATCCATTCCACCATAACATATGCTATTTTAGTATGGGGTCATGCTCACTCTATAAAAAAAGTTTTTACTCTTCAGAGAAAAATTATTATAATCATATCTGATCTTGATTTTAGAGATGACTGTAGAGAGCAGTTTTATAAATTGAACATACTAACTATACCCTGTGCATATATATTTCAATGTCTTATTGATGTCAAAAAACATATACATAACTTTGAAATCAGAAGTGAGACTCACTCTTATAATACCCGAAAGAGCACATACTTATGTAATACATTTCTAAGACTTAGTAAAACGCGGGTCGGTACTAATTATTGGGCCATCAAATTTTTTAACATAATACCTCACCAAATTCAAATTCTTAATGAAAATAATTTTAAAGGATAAAAAAAGTATTTAATAATAAATGCCTTTTATGGTTTTGAAGATTTTATTGACAGTAATGTAGCTCGAATATGAATGTTATCATTAATCTTAGTATGTCGTTTATCCTATTTATTTTAATTATATGTTGTTTAGGTATATTTGTTACAGTTAGTTGATTGCTATCATTATGTGTATTGTTATTTACCACTTTCTTTTTTTTTGGACGCGTGTAAACACTTTTATGTGTATTTAACACTAGCCTTTATAAATATAAATATAAAGTTAACAATTAAAATAAACACCCAAAAGATAGTCATCTTTTAAATATAACTAATATAAAATACACTGAAAATTATCTAATAATAGTAGAGTTAGTGCATCTCAAATTGATTTTGTAAGATAGACAATCAATAGAGAATTACTCTAATACTTTTGCATTATGCACTACAGTTTATACAAATCTTCCACTTATTCTAATAATGTTCTCCTTTTTATGTCCCATGTAATTCCGGAAATTCTTGTCTAGTTATTTGTTCCTTACTTACCAACTCGTTGGTAAAATTAATTCAAATTTGACAAAGAAAATATAACAAATTAAATGGAACACTATTGAAATATTAGATATTTAAAAAATGTTTATGTAACTGTTTAATAACAATTATCTATTTTACTATAATTTCATTAAATTTCTTAGAGTTGCATTGAGTAATTGCTACTTTTACTTTGCAAACTAATGATTTTTAGAAAACGCCTTATTATTCCGTAAAAATCTTTAATTTCAAAGCAGTTAGACAGATTTTCTTCATTTTAATTACTATTTTCCAATGCTTGTACTATTCCAACATTGAAAATATATCTGCATAGTTTATAAACTTCCAGTGCAACAAATGTACAGTCGCGACCGCTGGACGCAGGGGTGGTCCGATCGGAGTAATGTTGGTGTTGTTGTGTAGGTTGGACTTTTGTGCGTCGAACAGAAGTGATCCGAGCATTCTACGATAGGGGGTGGCATTGAAGACGTAAATGGTGAACCTCTACTGTTTGGCTATTGGGCTCTGTCGATGTTTTAAATACGCTATAAGTGAACTGTTTCAAGGGTATAGTAAAGGCAAAAAAATAGATAATTTGATTTGGTAATAATTGACAATACAGTATACGTTCTTAAAATTATATTACGTTCATGTCTATTATTCTATTGTGCTGTGATTTCCATCTTGTACTGTCTGTTTGTTAAGTTGTCATTACCTATTTTATCTTTAGCTTTTTACTTACATCTTGGAACCTATGCATTTTGGAATAATATTGAAGAAGAAGAAAAGTTTTAGAATTGAATTTTGCACAATATATTGCAAGTTAAAAATGTTTAAATTTATTATAGATGTTGCAAAATAGCAATAATTGATGAAAAAAAGGCAAAATGATCAAGTTTTCTTGGATAATTTTTTTAAAATATTTTAATTGCCAAGAGGGTATTCTAATTTTGATAAAAAAAAAACTAGAGTATAATAAAACAACACACCAAATTTCATTAAAACCGGTTCATTAGTTTTCGCAAAATAATTTTTTGAAAAATATTTTGAAAAAAAAAATGTCAGCCTTTCAAAATGTTGCACAACCTCAAATAAAGCATCCACAAATGATATTTAGAGTGCAACAAAATAATCTTAAAAGAATAAGGAAGTGCATTGAACTAGATGGAGGACATATCGAGCATTTACTGAAGTAATCTCTTTCAAATGTTTCATTCTTAACTTTTTTCTGTTACGTTGTGTCCCCGGTTGTGACTATACACAAAATACAAAAATTTAATTATCTTGACAACCGTTTATTTTTTCGTAAGTCATGATGTATACCTTTTTGTAGAAAAGTAACAGGGTTATCTGCCTGCGAGGACGAAATGTCAAATTTGACAGTTCTGTCAAAGTTGCGTAAATTTTAGAACATAATTTCGACCGTCCTTGTATAATAAAAATATTTGATTCAATTTTAAATGTACAAAGATACATTTGAATGAGTTGTTTTGATCCTCCAAATTTCAAGTTAATCAAAGTAACCCTTTAGAAATTATGGCCAATATTCATTTTTCAACTAGGTAAAAAGTTTATATGAAGTACTAACACTCGTTTGACCTGCTCTATATAACCCTTTATTTTTCCCCCGTAGTTACCGGATACGCTGTATAATCAGCTATAGTACAGATGCCGTGACAATATTTTAAATTTGAATGCAACCGCGCCTAATTATGGAACATGCGCAAAACACACGGAGTACGTCTCGCCCCCACTTTTTGGAAACAAGGTCATCCATTGAAACTATAGGTAATGACCAGTATAGGATAGAAGTATGTGATAAATACATACATTCATATACATATCAGTAATGTGATGTTTTATTTTATCCGTTCATTTTCAATATGTCAAAAGTTTGTTTGATGGCGAATTCTGTACATTTTTTGTATACAAACATTAATACTGTTTTATGGTTTTTCTAAATTTCAATCTTCACTTAATAAGTAAAATACTTATACCTTAATCTGTCTATACAAACCTAATCAAACAAGAATGTGTCTTGTTATTGTACGCGGGAACCAATCAATGGCTCCATCTATCGTGCAGACTCCCAACTGTGCCATTCAAATGGCTACAGTAGGAAGCGACCTGCTATATTGCAAGTACTTTGTTGCACGACTGCCGCCCACAGAGGGCGTAACACAATGTTTTAGTCATCAGTGCCGCGAGAAACAACTACTCCGAGGGCTATTTGCTTCCTACTGTAGCCATTTGAATGGCACAGTTGGGAGTCTGCACGACAGATGGAGCCATTGATTGGCTCCCGCGTACAATGTACTGCCTCTTCGTGATGATACGACGAAGAAACAGCTGGGTTGTTAGTCAGTTGTCCCACCTATGACACACTGATGAAGACTAATAAGTCCGAAACCGGTCTGTGCCTGGTGGGTTAAATTGACAAACGACCCTAGCTGTTGTACTAGGTATTGCGAGTATAATTCAATGCCGGTAGGGGCAAATAGCCCTCGGAGTAGTTGTTTCTCGCGGCACTGACGACTAAAACATGTGTCTTGTTATTTTTTACTTTTTTTATTTTTGATTCACTACAAATTAAAATTGCATTAAAAGCTAGGTTAATGACGAGTATTAGCATAGGTCAAAATTAACTCTCGATAAACGTAAATATGCATTTTAAAATTTTTTTAATCGCGTATTCGTATTTTACCCATTTTTCCTTAAAATAAAAGACATTATGACCGAATCACCGAATCATATATGGTGATGTTATTTTCGCTAGTCCTACCCAAATCCGAAAGATTGCCCACCATTTCCTGGATGCCCTGAATACTTACAGATAATTGATATCTATAGATAAAAGTCATTTGTCATGTTTTCTATTTACTAATTGCCTAAGTACTCCTGTTTAGAGATATACTCGTACTTTCAACATGTAACATTGTTTCCAAGTTATTATTTAATGTAGGTACCAGGTAACAATGAGAATTGGTAAGACTAGGTAGCTTTCTAAAATCATTAT